TCACAGCACGGTGCGAGAGTTCGCGGCAGTGTGGTTTGCTCTGGGGAGGATTCGGGTGGCCCGCGGATCGACGATTCGGCTCCATTCGGACTGCTCTCCGGTGGTTCATTGCCTGAACCGCAGGGGTTCGATGCGGTCCTTGTCTATTTGGGGTTGGTCGCTTCGGGTGACTCGTCTGCTGAGTTCTCGGGGTTTGGCTCTCCTGGCGGTTCATGTACAGGTCTTGTTCAACGTCTTGGCCGACGCCCTGTCTCGCTTCGTTCCCCTCTCCACGGAGTGGACGGTCGATGACGAGTCCTTCCATTGGCTTTGCCAGACGTTCGGGTGCCCCGAGGTGGACCTCTTTGTGTTGGCGTGGTCGCGGCGTCTTCCCGTTTATGCGGCGCCCTTCCCCAATCGCGAGGCCGTCGGGGTCGACGCCTTTCGGCTAGACTAGTCGAGGTGGGGATTCCTGTACCTTTTTCCCCCAGTTCGGCTGTTGCTCCATGTCCTGACTTGCTTAGAGACTTAACACTTTCGGGCCCCATTCGGATGGTAAAAAAAAAAAGCGGTATGTGCTCGCGGCGTTTTTGCCGCGTAAGCGTAAAAACAAAAATGTGTATACTCTTTTTACTCTCCTGACCTTAGTTCTCGAGCTACATATTTCATTTTGGTACCAACGTGTTCGCAATAAAATTCTCTAGAAGAACATCAGTAAAAAGAGTCACAAAACTTATAGGGATACCAGCACCAAATAAATAACTACGAAGATGACTCGCCGTGAGCGCCCAACAGCAACAAAATGTTTTTACTCTTGGGATTGTTATCACCTCCACACTTGTCCTACAGCGTTAATTTTGGCATCATTGGACTCGCAATGAAATTCCCAACACGGTGATATGAATATAAGCGTAGAATAATAATTGCGGCCCACCCGCAAGAGTGTGGGAAGTGGTGAAATTGTTACCCGGTATCGGTGACGGGACGACACACGGCGCTTTGAAAGTTTATACTTATTTCACTCTCATGACATTATTATTCTATGTACGTCATTCATTTTTGTGTCAATGTGTTCGCAATAGAATGTTCTATGAGCCCGTAGGTAAAAAAAGATCAACAAAGCGTAAGATAGAATAGCGCCAAATATAAAACTACGCTGGAACATATCAGTGAGCGTCAAACACACACGAAATGTTTTTACTTTTGTTATGTTTGTGAACCTTTCATGAACTTATTGTACCATGCAGCCTAGTGGTGAGAAAGAGAGCCTCATGGCGCGCAGTTTAAAACAAACCCAAAGTAAATCGGATAAAAATTGAATTTTATACAAATATTTTAAAAGAGGACATAAATTTATGTCCACCATGCGGGAGCGGGTAGGCGAAACAGGACGCCGGGAGGAGTCCTCATCCGCTGAAAGTGTTAACAGGGGAGAGTTGTCCTTCTGGCCCCTAGGTGGCTGGCCCAGCCTTGGTTTCATGCACTGGTTGCTCGGTGTCCGAACCCGAGGGTTTTCCAGCGGCTCCACCTCTTTCAGCAGTTCGAGCTGGTACGTCACGTGGCTGGGTCGATTTTCTCCTCGAGTCTTCGCGTATGGGTTTTTTGACTCGAGTTTATCATCATCTCTATGGTGATCAGGTGGCCTCCTTGTTGGTGTCTCACCTGAGGGCTTCTTCTCGGCGTCAGTATGAAGTTTCCTGGCGGTCCTTCTGTTTCTTTTTGCGTCTTCGTCATGTTAGTTCCTTGTCTGTTCGGGTGGTCTTGTCCTTCCTCTCGTGGTTGTTTCAGGACCATCATCTTATGCCTAACACTGTCGCCTCGTATCGTGCGGCGCTGGCGGAGCCGCTTCAGCTTGCCTTCGGTATCGATGTTACGTCTGCGCCGTTTCGTAAGGTGTCTCGTGCATTGTTTCACCTCCGGCCTGCTAATGCGCCGCCTGAGCCGTCCTGGTCTTTGGACAGAGTGCTCGCTTTCCTTTCGTCTCCTCATTTCGTTGTGGCTCCTTCGGTCCAGGATTGTTTTTCCAAGGCACTTTTCTTGTTGGCTTTGGCCTCTGGAGGTCGGGTAGAGGAGCTTCATGCTCTCCTCCGGCGCAGGGGTTTCTGCTCTTTTGGTCGTGGTGATAGTTTTGTTCGCTTGCAGCCATCTCCTTCTTTTCTGGCGAAGAATGAGACTGCTGCGTTCCGGAGGGGTCCATGGGTGGTTGATGCTTGGTTGGTCAGGCCGGGGATGCATCATGTTTTATGTCCGGTTGCGGCGCTTTGCCGTTATTTGCGCACCACGGCTTCTGTGTCTGGGGACGCGCTGTTGGTTGATCCGGTTTCCCTTCTTCCCTGTTCGCAGGTTCGAGTCTCCCAGGTCGTCCGCAGGGTTATTAAGTCCAGCCAGCCTGAGGTCTATCCCCGTGCCCATGACGTTCGTAAGTTCGCGGCTCTTCCTGCCGTCTTTGGGAATATGTCTTGGTCTGATATTCGGGCGCGGAGATTTTGGCGGTCGAACAGGGTCCTGGCTGCTCGTTACCTTGTGAATGTCTCTGGGCTACGTCAGGCCTGTGTTGCTTTGGGTCGGCGGTTGCAGCCAGTTGTCTCTTCTTCGAGTTGAGGAGTGAGCGACGACCGCCTCCATGGTAAGTGCCTCTTTTTCCGTCTGTGGGTAGTTAGCTCTGGGGAGCCGACGGGGCTTCCCCCAGAAAACCAGTGTTGAATGTAATGAAACGCCATTTTCTGGGTGAGTCCCGGAGGCTCCCCGGCATCCCTCCCTCTCTCCCTCCGGTCGGCGTATTTTTCACGTTTTTGACATCCAGCCTCAAGAACTGAGGTGTGGGTAGCCAGCGTGGAGGGTCTGGGGCTCCCCCTTCCCCCTCCCGGGAAGGGGGGTGCTGCGCAGACAGCGGCGCGGCGGCGTCACACTAGTTTGCTTGTTTTCTGTTGGGAAGTTCTTTCCACTAGTTCGGCTTTTGGTAGCAATTTTAACCAGAATAGGGGTTTGTTTTGAGGCGCTTACCTTTCTGGGGTGCCTGTTCCGGTCGTTGGCAGACATATAATGCTTCCAACCACACGGGGGCTTCTATAGGCCATTGCTCCCCTTGCCTCTCTGAGGGAGCCTGGTTCTGGCCGTGGTCCCCGGTAGGCCTAAGAACTCCATACACATGACTGATGCCAAAGTCTGACATTAGGATATCAGCCTGAGATAGCTTCGAGGAGCCTCCGGGACTCACCCAGAAAATGGCGTTTCATTACATTCAACGCTGGTTTTTTAGTAGCGTCACTTGTGTGCGCACCTGACGGGTTAAGAATGTTAAAGATGTCAGTGCTAGTAGAGAAGAGACTTGAAGGTGACATAACAAGACCCACACTCAGTGAACGAGTGTGTGGATAATTGTACTGGTGTACAGTATATCAGGTGCATTACTGTACTGGTGTACACTACAGTAGATGTATTACACTACAATAGATGTATGTATTATTATTAAGGGAGCCGGTTGGCCGAGCGGACAGCACGCTGGACTTGTGATCCTGTGGTCCTGGGTTCAATCCCAGGCGCCGGCGAGAAAGAATGGGCAGAGTTTCTTTCACCCTATGCCCCTGTTACCTAGCAGTAAAATAGGTACCTGGGTGTTAGTCAGCTGTCACAGGCTTCTTCCTGGGGGTGGAGGCCTGGTTGAGGACTGGGCCGCGGGAACACTAAAAAGCCCCGAAATCATCTCAAGGTAACCTCAAGATATACTCTACTGGTGTACACTAAAGTAGATGCATTACTCTACTGGTGTACACTACAGTAGATGCATTACTGTACTGGTGTACACTACAGTAGATATATTACTCTACTGGTGTACACTACAGTAGATGCATTACTGTACTGGTGTACACTACAGTAGATGTATTACTCTACTGGTGTACACTACAGTAGATGCATTACTGTACTGGTGTACACTACAGTAGATGTATTACTGTTCTGGTGTACACTACAGTAGATGTATTACTGTTCTGGTGTACACTACAATAGATGCATTACTCTACTGGTGTACACTACAGTAGATGCATTACTCTACTGGTGTACACTACAGTAGATGCATTACTCTACTGGTGTACACTACAGTAGATGCATTACTCTACTTGTGTACACTACAGTAGATGCATTACTGTACTGGTGTACACTACAGTAGATGTAATATTCTACTGGTGTACACTACAGTAGATGCATTACTCTACTGGTGTACACTACAGTAGATGTATTACTGTTCTGGTGTACACTACAGTAGATGCATTACTGTACTGGTGTACACTACAGTAGATGCATTACTGTACTGGTGTACACTACAGTAGATGCATTACTCTACTGGTGTACACTACAGTAGATGCATTACTGTACTGTATACAGTATTGTTAGTGTGTGACTGTACTGTATACAGAATTGTTAGTGTGTGACTGTACTGTATACAGTATTGTTGGTGTGTGACTGTACTGTATACAGTATTGTTAGTGTGTGACTGTACTGTATACAGTATTGTTGGTGTGTGACTGTACTGTATACAGAATTGTTAGTGTGTGACTGTACTGTATACAGTATTGTTGGTGTGTGACTGTACTGTATACAGTATTGTTAGTGTGTGACTGTACTGTATACAGTATTGTTGGTGTGTGACTGTACTGTATACAGTATTGTTAGTGTGTGACTGTACTGTATACAGTATTGTTGGTGTGTGACTGTACTGGTGTACAGTATTGTTGGTGTGTGACTGTACTGTATACAGTATTGTTGGTGTGTGACTGTACTGGTGTACAGTATTGTTGGTGTGTGACTGTACTGTATACAGTATTGTTGGTGTGTGACTGTACTGGTGTACAGTATTGTTGGTGTGTGACTGTACTGTATACAGTATTGTTGGTGTGTGACTGTACTGTATACAGTATTGTTGGTGTATGACTACTGATACTCAGAAAGAAGTGTAAACTGTATCTTTATTGGTTATTCTATAATGTGTGTGATGAAAATACTAATAAATTTCATGTTTCCTTCAGCAAGTGAACATTGGAGCGGCCTGTCGGAGGAAGCTATCACCCACACTACAAAAAGTGTGTGTGAAGACCATTTTGTAGCCATGAATGACAAAATTACCAAGTTGTTCTCCGAAAACAGTATTTTAGAGTAAGCTGCTTTTATATGCTGCTGATGCTGTGTCTGCCATTTGTCAAAATTAAAAAAATATTAATAAATACAAATTAAAGTTTTTAGAAATTTTTATGAGTTGTTGAGAATTGTTAACGTTTACTGATTAGTTATTACACTGTACCATGTATGTTTCTGGACACGTTACGTCTTCTTACTATGCACTACTATGCACTGGGGGTCAGACGGCTGAGTGGCCAGCGCTCGGGATCCGTAGTTCTAAGGTTCGGGGTTCAATCCCCGGCGGAGGTGGAATGGGCAGAGTTTCATTCACCCTGATTGCCCATGTTCACCTAACAATAAATAGGTACTGTACCTGGGAGTTAGACAGCTGCCACGGGCTGCTTCCTGGGAGTATGTGTAACAAAAAGGAGGCCTGGTTGAGGACCAGGCTGCGGGGATGCTAAGCCCCAAAATCATCTCAAGATAAGAATCTCAATATGATACTTGTTTATCCAGGTCTTGTGATTGTTTTTAGATTTTGTACTAAAACAAGATAATGTGCCGTTGTGTAAATCATTCCCTTGTTATTGACATAACACGTTTAACACATTTTCACAGGAAGTAAGCACTTATGAATGTATCAGAAAAAGGATGTTCACTTCATTCTCCTAGAACATATACTTGAAGCATTGTGAATCATAATCTCACATACAAAGTCTAGATATTGATGCTAATATACAGGATGTCCAAGAGTTAGCTATCTATTTCTATGAAATCAGACAAATCTAATAAAAACCTACATATTTTGACATAATATCCTCTCCCTCTGCTACTCTTCCCATTATTTATTGCCTTCCCACATTCTGCCTTGTTCTCCCCCATTCCAGCTTGTCCTTTCCCATCCCCCTTCTCCCAGGCCTTCTTTTATGTGAAGTAAACATATGCATATGTATATGTTATCATCCATAAATATATTTCCAGGAAGTATAATATTCCAGAGAACTTGTGTACATTATGCATTAGTATCAATGACAACATTATCCTAAACATAGTATGAGAGTTGTACTGTACAGTGCTACCATTCAGTTCATTCTCCATTCACAATCAGGAATGCTGGTTTCGAATCCCGGGTGGGACATAAATTGTTAGGCACGTTTCCTTTCACCTAATGCCTCTGTTCACCTAGCAGTAAGTAGGTTCCCAGGAGTTAACTGTTGTGGGGATGCATCCTGATGCACTGTATACAATGTTCAGAACAGAACATTGTATACGGTATCTTGAAAAAGGATGTAGGGTACATCCAAAAGTTTTTAATACACTTACACATTTATTGGAGTCTTTCCTTCACCTTCATTCAAGCACTACGGTATTATAGTAAGTTTTCCATTATTATTAACCCAACCACTTGGGCTGGATGGTTGAGTGACAGTCTCGCTTCATGCAGGTCGGCGTTCAATCCCCGACCATCCAAGTAGTTGGGCACCATTCTTTCCCCACCATCCCATCCCAAATCATTATCCTGAGCCCTTCGAAGTGCTATATAGTCGTAATGGCTTGGCACTTTCCCCTGAAAATTCCTCTCCATTATTATTATTATATTATTATATTTTTATTAGCATAGGAGGGGATGGGGTCATATGCTCACATTCCAATGCCTGCTGCCCAGAACTGGGGGGTGCACGATAAACTACCCACCTCCGGCGGCAATAATCAAAACTGCCTCTGCCTGTCAGAGGCAGAAGTGGAGTCTAGGCCATTTGTCATGATAATTAGTGATGGCTCTTAATTTGATTAGGGGTCCAAAAGCCAATTGAGCCCTTATTCTTAATTTATATTAAAATGCTGGGGAAATACACGTCTTGTGGATGAGTATAGGGTACAAAATTAACTGCTGTACCACTCAAGACGAGTATAGGGTGCACAATGAACTACCACTCACAGGATGCATATGGGGTACATTATTCACACAATGAACCATTTCATTGCATCATCACTATCCTGTGAGTGGTGAGTTCCCCACCACTCACAGGATGCATATGGGGTACACAATGTATTACCACTCAGCATGAGTATGGGGCGCACAATAAACTACCACTCATCATGAGTATGGGGCGCACAATAAACTACCACTCAGCATGAGTATGGGATGCACAATAAACTACCACTCAGCATGAGTATGGGGTGCACAATAAACTACCACTCAGCATGAGTATGGGGTGCACAATAAACTACCACTCGGCATGAGTATGGGGTGCACAATAAACTACCACTCGGCATGAGTATGGGGTGCACAATAAACTACCACTCAGCATGAGTATGGGGTGCACAATAAACTACCACTCAGCATGAGTATGGGGTGCACAATAAACTACCACTTAGCATGAGTATGGGGTGCACAATAAACTACCACTCAGCATGAGTATGGGGTGCACAATAAACTACCACTTAGCATGAGTATGGGGTGCACAATAAACTACCACTCAGCATGAGTATGGGGTGCACAATAAACTACCACTTAGCATGAGTATGGGGTGCACAATAAACTACCACTCAGCATGAGTATGGGGTGTACAATAAACTACCACTCAGCATGAGTATGGGGTGCACAATAAACTACCACTCGGCATGAGTATGGGGTGCACAATAAACTACCACTCAGCATGAGTATGGGGTGCACAATAAACTACCACTCAGCATGAGTATGGGGTGCACAATAAACTACCACTCGGCATGAGTATGGGGTGCACAATAAACTACCACTCAGCATGAGTATGGGGTGCACAATAAACTACCACTCAGCATGAGTATGGGGTGCACAATAAACTACCACTTAGCATGAGTATGGGGTGCACAATAAACTACCACTCAGCATGAGTATGGGGTGCACAATAAACTACCACTTAGCATGAGTATGGGGTGCACAATAAACTACCACTCAGCATGAGTATGGGGTGCACAATAAACTACCACTTAGCATGAGTATGGGGTGCACAATAAACTACCACTCAGCATGAGTATGGGGTGTACAATAAACTACCACTCAGCATGAGTATGGGGTGCACAATAAACTACCACTCGGCATGAGTATGGGGTGCACAATAAACTACCACTCAGCATGAGTATGGGGTGCACAATAAACTACCACTCAGCATGAGTATGGGGTGCACAATAAACTACCACTCGGCATGAGTATGGGGTGCACAATAAACTACCACTCAGCATGAGTATGGGGTGCACAATAAACTAACACAAACATGAGTATTGGGAAGTCTTTTTTGAGACTTTGTCTCATGTCATGCAATTGCAAGATGCTTGAAAGGACCATCCTAAACCGACTGTTGCACAAAATAGGCAGGTTAGGGGAGGGGTCAATGGATTTATTAAAGGACGGAGCACAGCAAATTGTATAGTTAATTATTTTTTTGTTTACTTGGCTATTGACATGGCTAGGTACTTTGTATTTGTTGACATCAAAGTAACCTTCGACAAAGCGCAGGGAATTGGGATCCTGGACGAGCTTGCATGCATGGGTGTCAAGGGGAGACTCATGAGATGGGTTGAAGACTACCTCACAGGGAGGATAGCCAAGGTCTGCTTCAATAGATTTGTCGCAAGAACGATAAATATGGCACTCGGGACCCTCCAAGGCAGAGTCTTAAGCCCCACACTATTCAATGTACATATGAACGCCATTGCAAATATTGATTTGCCCGAAACTCTATGCGTATTAGTGGCTTTAGGTATTATATGTACTAGCTCTATCTATAAATCCAACATTATGTTTGTAACTTTTCATCAATGTATGTACTTTTACCTGAATAAAAAATTAAATTTGAATTTAAATTTGAATTTGATTTTCCGGAAGGGAAGCAACAAGTGGGGTGTGCAGATAAGATTCTATTCTGATCGGGGAGAAAAAACAAGCCAGGAGTGGGGGGACCTTAATTTATTAAGTAATGTTTACAGAGCAACTGCTGTACCACAATAAAAGATGACGTGTAACATGACTGAGTAGAATGCCAGTACTGCAAGATGCAACAAAGGGAATGAGTCGAAGGACATTAACCGTGCCTATAGTGCCGGCTAGCCGAAGCAATGTTGCAGTACTCGCAATCAGCTTAATACTATAATTAAAAACAATGCCAGAGGTAATTGAATGGCACAGCCAGTACACTATGTATAAAATATATTCTGTATACCAGAGGGCATATAAAAGAATAGATAAGAATTTCCAGGGGTAATGAGCAACTGCTGTACCACAATAAAAGATGTCGTGTAACATGACTGAGTAGAATGCCAGTACTGCAAGCTGCAACTAAGGGAATGAGTCGTAGGACATTAACCGTGCCTAGTGCCGGCTAGCCGAAGCAAAGTTGCAGTACTCGCAATCAGCTTAATACTATAATTAAAAACAATGCCAGAGGTAATTGAGTGGCACAGCCAGTACAGTATGTATAAAATATATTCTGTATACACAGAGGGCATATAAAAGAATAGATAAGAATTTCCAGGGGTAATGATATGCTAGTGCCTAGTTTACATGTAAAGTCTGCAACCCCCAACTTGCACTACAAGAGAGCACTTGACATATGGAAGTAGCTGCGGGCAGCTAGACTTGGGGATCCGGCGCAGCACCACCACTTCGCAGGCCAGCGAAACCGGTTTCCTGACTCTTACTAGCACCTAGACTGGGCAAAGGATTCGCTGCGGACAGCGGGACACTTAGGGACCGGCGCTGCACCCCCACCGCAGACCAGCTGGCCGGGACCTCCCCCCCCCCCGAAGGGCGAGGCCCGCTGGCCGCAAGTAGGCCTCAGAGTGGCAGAGCAACAACGTCCCGGACGTAGTCAGCTGGGGGTTCCAGCTGGTTGCTGGACCCGCCATTATCTCCGCTTATTTAATTTTACCTCTTCTATCATTAGGTTAGGGGCCCCTTACCTCCAACCGCTATTCCTTCCACTGCGCTCTGCCCGCTTGGCGCTCAATGCCGGTT